TGTGCCTGGTGGGTGGGGCCTCCATCAGGGGCGTGGCCAGCACCTGGCTCCACCCCCTGCATAGCTTCAAGCCCATTCAATCAGCTTAAAGGGGGCCGGAGTCTTCAAGTTCCACCCCCCCCTTGCTGTCATTGTTCCATTCACCGAGGTGGTGGCCAATCAGCTTTCCCCACAGCAGGTGGGCGTGGTTAGAACGAAGGCCCCGCCCACCAGTACTAAAACCACACTCCTTCCAGCACCCTCTGTCAGTGGCCCCGCCCCTTAGTGCTGTCCTCCAATAGCAATGGGCTTTGCTGAAACACTAGCCCCGCCCCCAGGAGGATTCATTAATTGGCCAGTATAAACCACCGTGACCCCAGTATAGCCCAGTGTGATCCCAGTATGGCCCAGTGCAACCCAGCGTGACCCAAGTATAGCCCAGTGTGATGCCAGTATAGCCCAGTACAGCCCAGTGTGATCCCAGTATAGACCAGTATAACCCAGTGTGACCCCAGTATAGCCCAGTGTGAGCCCAGTGTAACCCCTGTATAGCCCAGTGTTCCAGGTGTTCATCAGATGTGTTCCAGCTGTTTTCCAGGCATTTTCCAGATGTGCAACAGGTGTGTGCCAGTTGTGTTCCAGGCATGTGCCAGTTGTGTTCCATGTGTGCTGTAGGTATGTGTCACATGTGTTCGAGGCATATTCAAGGCATGTTCCAGGCATGTTCAAGGTGTGTTTGACGTGTGTTCCAGGTGTGTGCCAGGTGTTTTTGAGGAATCTGCCAGGTGTGTTCCAAGCGTCTACCAAGCGTACGCCAGGCGTGTTCGAGGTGTGTGCCAGTCGTGTGCCAGGTGTTTTTGAGGTGTGTTCCAGGTGTGTGCCAGGTGTTTTTGGGGCATGTTCCAGGTGTGTTCCAGGTGTGTTGGAGGCGTGTGCCACGTGTGTTCGAGGTGTATTCAAGGCACGTTCTAGGTGTGTTTCAGGCATGTTCCAGGCATTTTCCAGGTGTGTGCCACGTGTGTTCCAGGCGTTTTCCAGGCGTGTGCAAGGCATGTTCCAGGTGTGCACCAGGTATGTGCCAGATGCGTTCGAGGTGTGTGCCAGGCGTTTTCCAGGCATGTGCCAGGTGTGTGCCAAGTGTGTGCCAGCCGTGTGCCATGGGAAGCAACAGCCCCAGGTGCCTGTAGTGTCCCCCCCAACCCCCGATTCCTTCCCTTCTCCCCATGGACAGGTCCCGGGGCTGAGCCCCCCTCTCCCCACCATTCTCCCTGTGTCTGCTTTACGATATTCTGGACTAGGTAGAGGTTGTTTGTGAGGAATCTTATTGGAGGAGTTTGGGATCATCCCTTGTCCCAGAATCCTTTCCAGCTGGCATCAGGGCTGAGGTCAGAGGCTTTAGGCGTCAAGCCCAAGCGCACAGTCCCACAGAACAGCTGAGGTTGGGAGGGACCTATGGAGGGCACCTGCTCCAACCCGCCTGCTCGAGCAGGGTCAGCTCGAGCCACTAAAGTACATCGCCCCGACAGCAAAATATTGGTTTCTCAGGCGCAGCTGGGATAGCGCGCGTTTTACTTTGTGCCCAGTCCCTCTGGTCCTCTCAGCGCACACTCTTGAGAAGAGCCTGGCTCCCTCAGCTTCTTTCTTTCTCAGCAGGTTTTTATACACAGTGATGAGACACCCCACCCTCCCCAGCCTGCTCGTCTCCCAGCTGAAGAGTGCCAGCTCTCTCTGCCTCTTCTCAATGGCAACAAGAAGGAGAAGTTGCACGGCCCGTATTCCGGACACTTTTGGTGTCTCAAGGAAGAAATTAGAGACATGACTCCTCACCTAGGTCACCTCATCAGCTGCACAACTGCAGTTTGGCGCTGCACCTCCCGTAGCACAGCACAGGGAGCTGGCTATGGAAAAAGCTCTTTGCTTTGTTTAATTTGTCCTGGAAGAGTCTTATGTTGGTGCCGAGTAGAGGCAGAATGTCAGGCAAAATGGCTCATTGGAGGGGAATGAGACAGGGCCATTTACCTGGCTATTCAAAGCCCCATTGCTCCAGCAGCGGAATCTTTTTTTACTACAGTTTTGGAAGTGGACAGCTGGAGGGGATGGACGATTTGTCTTCACAGCTCTGAAAACATGCATGGTAGCAGTGAAGACAGAATATGCCTTTCTCACAGATCTTGTCTTTGTTGAGCGTGTTGAATTCAATCTGCTGATCAACAGCCCACCGGGTTCAACAGACACCTTTGATTTTTATCCTTTGGCTGAAGCGCTAAGTGCAAGCTCCTGTCACTGCTTGTTAGCGCAATTAATGCAAATCATCTCCTCTCTGCTATCTAATAATTTAGGCTACCTTCTAACTAACGATCTCTGTAGGAGTACACAACCCGACCCGATATTACACATGACGTCAGCACAGCAAAGAGATGTGACGTTCAAATGTAAAATAAGACAGTTTGAACACCTTCAATAGCTGGAAGGAATAAAAAGGGAAAGCGCTGTCACTGCAGGCAGCTGGTTCACGGCCCCGGGAAAGGATAAGGCTGAGCCGACAGCGAAGCGAGAGCTCCGGGGCTCTGGGCAGAGCAGGGGGCACCAGTCCCCGGCAGATCACCCCACGGGCCCCCCTCCCCCCTCTAGCTATGGGCACCGGGTGCTGGTTTCCTCCCAGTGCTTCCTCCACCGTCCCCTTGGCCCCACAGGGTGGCCCCATGGCCCCCCACCAC